GGATTTCGCCGATGACTTATGCCGATTGTCACACAAACTTGAAGATCTGCAGGCAAAAACTAACAAGTTGATAGAAGAGGCAGCGAAGACGGGACTTCAGGTGAATATAGAGAAGGCAGAAGTGATGAAGATACCGCACCAACAACTCCAACAACAACAACAAACTCCAATCACCGTCAACGGGAGAAACTTAAAGGAAGTAACCTCCTTCACTTATCTAGGAAGCACTGTTTCAACTACAGGCGGGACGGACGAGGACGTCAAAGTCAGAATCGGAAAAGCAAGACAGGCATTCATAAATTAGCCTGAAACCAGTGTGGAGATCTTCTGCACTCAGCATGCGGAACAAGATACGGATTTTCAACACCAACGTCAAGTCAGTGCTCTTGTATGGCTCAGAGACTTGGCGCGTTACGAAAGGCATTTCCAATAAACTACAGACATTCATCAACAACTGCTACTTACGCTGGCTCGCTACTGAAGATCAGATGGATTGCCAGAAAGAATAAGCAACAAGGAGCTCTGGGAACGAACCAACCAAGAACCTATCACGCAACAAATATTCAGGAGGAAGTGGAGATGGATTGGGCATGCACTGAGAAGGCCGACCGAGGACATCACGCGTCAGGCCAGGCCCTCGAGTGGAACCCTGATGGAAAGCTACGAGTTGGACGTCCGAGGGTGACATGAAGGAGATCATGTGAGGAGGAAATGAGAGGTTGTGGGCTGTCGTGGAACCAGGTTCAAAAGATCTCAGAGAACAGAGGTCACTGGAGGCGTGCTACTGAAGCCCTATGTTCCACTAGGAACCCAAGGGACTAATAATAATAAATGAGTGTGATAGAAATCATCTTCATTTTCTATTCATTCTTTATTCCAAACTAATATCAGCAGTACATTGAATAATCGGGCATAATTCATCATTTCTTTGAAATAGGTTACTTTGAAAGTCACCCTGGCATCTAGTGTAATTATTAATCAGCTTTCGTTATTTTGGCAAGAAAGTTTAGTTTAAATGAAATAGAGTATCGTAATTGGGTATCTTAACAGTTTCTCGTGTGGCCTTTAAAGTCACTCCTCCAAAATACAATTGAGATTTGAATATGCTTAAAATAATTAATAATAACTGTATGCCTGAATTTTGTAACAGGTATATTTTGTTCATGAAAAAGTGTAGACTCCGATGAGATTCGATTTTTTATCTTCTTGATGGCTAGACTGATCAATGAATTAATTCCTAAGGTGTCTTTCGCTTCTGCTGCCAATGAGAATATAACTTCACTGTAGAAAAGAATAAGTTAGTGTCTTATTAGGGCACGAAACCTTGTTTTTTTTTTGAGGGTTTAAAACAATAACCGAATTTCGAACTAAATTTTTAATAATGTATCATGGAAACGAATAATCATTTAAAAAATGTTAAGCCTCTCCTACAGTACACTAACTAATGATAGTGAAGTTATTCACAATAGTGGTATTCTGTTTTAATAATTAAGATTTGAAGTGAAGTGAAAGTGTACAAAACTGTAACCATTGTTAGCGTCTACATTTTTTGTTTTAGGTCATTCTCCATTTTATGGGTACAAAGTAACAAATGTATCGAAATTAACAGGTGAATTTTGTTACTCTGAGTATTTTGAACAAAGAGGTATCTGTTAAATTCAGAAACCATATGTTAGTTTAGTCGAAATCAATGTCTCATTAATGTCAAATACACTATGGAAATACATTTTGTTTATTCATTTCTGGATTATAGTCTGGTAAAGAAATTAGTCTAAATTTGAAGTGGATATCTAATGAATCATATATACTTAAAAACAATTTGATTACATTTTACTCTTGCCTACCTATAAAAGTGACAGGTAAAAAAGAAAACTTTGTTGTATGTAGTAACCAGTTCTTCAGTGAACTATTATTATGTTGTGGCTTTACTGGTATCAAAGCCTGAGTTCAACTTCAAAAATTTCTTCGATTAATTATCTCTCAAACTTGATAGAATTCTGTGGAGGCTTGCTTTTATATTATTATATTATAATGTTTGTCCCTTGGGTTCCTAGTGGAACATACGGCCTCAGTGGCACGTCTACATTACACTCTCTTCTCTGCAATCTTTTAAACGTGGCTCCACCACTGCCCACAAGCTTCCATTTCTTCCTCATACGATCTACTCCATGTCACCCTCAGCTTCAACGCCCAACTCTCCGTTTCCCATCTGGGTTCCAATCTAGTGTCTGGCGCGTAATGTTCCCAACTGATCTTCTCAGTGTACGTTCAATCCATCTCCACTTTCTCCTGCATATTGGTTGAGTAATCGCTTCTTGGTTGGTTCGTTGTCAGCCAGAGTGAGTTTCTTGTTGCTTATTCTTATGATTCTGGCCATCTGGGCTTCAGTATCGAGTGAGCGTAGACGGCAGCTTTTGATGAATGTTCGTAGTTTGTTGGAAATGCTTTCCGTGACGCGCCGCCAAGTCTCTGAACCATCACAGAGAAGCACTGACTTGACAGATATTAGTGTTGAAAATCCGGATGTTGTTCACGCTTTATGTTAAGTGCAGTCGATCTCCACACTGGTCTCAGGTTAACGAATGCCTGTCTTGCTTTTCTGATCCTGACTTTGACGTTCTCGTCTGTGCTGCCTGTAGTTGAAACGATGCTGCCTAGATAAGTGAAACTGCTTTTATAAACAATCTTATAAACCAAGATTGTGATTTGCATTAAGATTAGTTTGAAAAAAATATAAGATTCAAAGTAGGTTTTTCACACAAATGACTGATGTTGTCCCTCTTTCAAAGCTGTGCCGATTCGTTCCATGTTGAGATTTTTGGGAAGTAAAAGTCAAGTTAAGAAAAGAACTCAATATAAATGTTTCTTGTTTTATAACATTTTGATAAAGAAAGTGGGTGGAGCTGAAGTTTAGTGGTAGCCAATCACGTTCAAGTGTGTACTAGCAGATGAGAAAAAAGTATATGAAGGATAACGTGGTTATTGTGGATTATAGTACTTCATTTACAATTTATAAATCCGTTTTTCATCTGACATAGAAATGCCATGATTTCCACTCGGTTTGTCATCTTTGAAGCTATACTTTTTTCTGTATTCCCACTCATCCAACTGAGACCACATCATTGCTCATAAGGGATCACGCTGCCTAGTGATCCTACAAATGAATGACTCCATACATTTTCAACGCTGCTTGTGTCTACTTCATCTGACGGTTCAGCGACGTGCTTTCTGTGAATAATAACTTGATAGAGGTGACCTAATTCAGATAACAGCTTGTACGATTTCCTGGTACCCCTAGTTACTGAAATGCCTAATTCTACCCATTTTCTTTCAACAGATAAAACGAATTCTTTGGATCGATCCAATTATCCACTGCAAATTGTTTTTCCGTGTGTTTTGACGGTATACACCGAGAATCTATGATTTGTCCAGACATATCTTTGTAACTTACCCAGCCTCGTTTAAATTCCCTTCTTTGGTTATAATTAAGTTTGCCATTTCAGTTCCATAGTTGATTGCAACACGGTATTCACAGTTTAGACTTCTCCAAAGCAATCCAACTCCCAGAAAGTAAATCTTCGCCGTAGTTCGTGAATAGTTTATGCAATATCAGCAACCCAGTAAATGGACAAATGACCTCTATATGCATCATCTACAACCTGATCCATGGTCATTAAGGCTTGTGGTCACTGAGGTTCAGTTTTACCACAGTATATTCCATGGAAAAACGTACATATACATTATTATGACTAGGCTAAGATGAACTATTGTTCCCATCAGTATTCGTACTCGGTAGCGATCGCTTCAAACTCCAGGGAGTTAGAACGCAGGCAATATCGAGGCATTCCCACAGGAGCTTATATGCCAATAGAGACCGACCAATTCGGTCCAAGCAATGACGGTATGATATAAAAACAATTATACTGATACTTTGAGATAAATGCACCAAAAATCCGATGAAAACTCATAGTTTATTGGATAAACAAGCCGAAAGTAAAGTGGATACCAACTGAAGAACTTGTTGGGTAGCTGCATGATATTGCAATTTGACAGATGCAGGGAACTGTGCACTGATGAACCCTGGCGCATTCGCTTACTGATCAACCAGTTCTTCGCTTGATATGAAGGTTTTGAGTTTGATCCACGGCGGTGTCGTAAGTGGGTACTTATGGGGAATTCCATACTAGAATGAAACAATTGTTCAGTCCTCCTAGATTTTCAGCAGTTCTCCAAATAATGTCATTAAATGATGGTTACTACCTAGAAAATAAAATCTTCCTCAAGATTAAACCACAAATTCTAATTATATTAGACAACCACCAACACTTGGCCCTTTATTGACTCCGACCTGATTTACACCATGAGAAGAGACTTGTGATTACGAACTCCAAAAATCTATCGAAATATCGTTATCTAACGAGGATTGAAGAATTGCCAAGTAGTTCAAACTGAAGTTGAAACAACTGTCGATCACTTCTCGGTTTTCAATAGTTTCCGAAGTGACATTACTTAGTGATGCATGAAGATGACTTAGGCATTACCATTCCTTCATAGCTTTGCGGAGAATGAGCAATTAATCTACAGAAATATCTAAATTTTATCTCACGAATCTTATTTATGCCAGTTCCCTTCTCTAATCGATTTTATCCACTTTAAGTGTGTCCGGTTGTAGCATTCAACTTCCAATCGATCTGAGCATACCTGCATTGGAAATATTGAAACAAAATGACTGTACAGTATTCTTTAAAATGTAATTTTCCTCTACTTCAAGTGCATGATTAGGAAGGAATGTGTAAAATAGCCTATTCTCATATTTGAAATATGACTCCGCTTATCTTGAAATAGAAAGCACATTTTTCGAATATTTTCAGCAGTTTATTAGCTTCAAATAAATCATTTAATTACGTTAAGTGATAAATTACTGAAAATTTCATTTAATAAATGCTAAGTACAGTAATTTAATTCCTTTTCTGCTTCATTTTCTATTGATTTTTTTCAAGATTAGTTTTATTTAGCCTTAATGAATTATCAGATCATCCTACCGGTCATTGTCCAAGAAGGCAGACAAGATATAATTTTACTAATCAATTTGTATATCATGTTCCCAAAGCACTACAAAACCATCAACTAATAATCAATGTTACAGCACCAGCAGACTATGCAATAATAACTGGACTACCGCCTGATAACTTCTATCGAGTACTTCTCTTTGCTGTAGGTAATAGTTTGAGAAGTCCACCTGCCACAATGCCATCATCTCCACGTGTGCCAGCGCTTTCACCAGAAACTGCACCGGAAAATGTGAGTTGAATTACATTCTATTATTCTCTGCTGTAATGTGTGGTATGATTCATGTATGAAGCGATGAATACTTTCTTTGAAGTGTAGATTCAAAACAACATAGTAACATATTCTTTATTTATCAAATTCTGTCTTGATCTATGTAGGTTAAAGTTACTTTACGTGGAACACAGAGTGCTAAAATATCTTGGAGTCCACCCAATGATATTGACTGTACTGGCGAACTTATGAATTATGTAATCAACATCAATTCTTCTCGTCTCATAGAACCTATTGTTGTTAAAGTTCCTCGTTCACGAAGAAGTCATGTTATAGACAGTAAGTTTCAATTTTTAAAGTCAGCATTCAGCTTATTTGCTTGTGTGGCTAATTTTTTACATCGAATTATACTTATGACACTTGTTATCTCCTATATATATGTCTTCATTCACTGACATGAATAAAATACGAACAAAAAAGTAGTTGAAAACAATAGTATCATTGTATTTTATCACCTTTTCTCAGCTGTTTACAAACTAAAAATAATTAATACGTAATGATAAACAAATGTTAATGATTTTCGCATTTAATGCTATCTTATATCTTCAGAATATGAAGGCTAGAAATGAAATACAACCTGTTCAAAAGAATGAGTTTCTGATTGAAAAACAAATTGACGTTAATTTACTTATAATAACCATCCCATGTTAATTTGTTAGCATCTAAAGACTACTGTGAAATCAAGTCATATGACTTCATTCGCCAGTTTGTTCAGACACGACTTATTCTGATTATGGAATGCTGTGTATATAAATTTTTGAAAAATAAAAACAGAAGCTAGTAAGCGGATTATTGTACATTTTCTGACTTCACTGACCGAAATCTATTGGTCATCAAGTATAGATTAGCTAATCCATCGGAAATGCTAATACGCGAGAAAATATCCGATGGAATGCATTCATTATAAGAACCAAACATTCAGAGGTAGACAACTGAAAGTCAATGACTTAATTTAATTTTATGAGCCTATTTTACAGAACTAATCTTGCCGGGTTAACTAGTTTACTAGTTACTAGATGGTCCTAAACCCGGGTAAAGAGGGAATGTTGGGCAGACGGCTAGCAACCCTACACCGTGAAACCAATCCAATCGCTAAAAAAACTTCAAAGTACAAACAAAATATAAAAATAAAAACAATGTTATTCGTCGCTGGAATCGGTGAGGCGAAATGACGCTGGTTGGTGAAAGCCTTAGGGAAACCGATTCGCTTGTGTCCTCTCTTCTCTCGATGAAATCGAAAGTAAGCATGGGGACATGGAATGTCCCCATCATTTTTGAACCTAGCAAGGCAGCCCACACTGCAAAGGAGATGAGAAGGTATCACATTGAAGTGCTTGGAATTTGCGATATCAGATGGAGTGGAAGTCGACTCAACAAAGTGCCAACTGGAGAATCAATAATCTGCTCCAGTCACTCGAACGACAACCACGAGCACACTGAGTTTCAAAGTGACTACCATGATGTCTCCAAGAACATCGAAGGCTCTCATGCAGTGGGAACCAATCTCCTGCTGTAGAAACATGACAGCAAGGTTTAACTCAAAAGGAAAGAAGGTCACAATCATACAATGCTACTCCATGCACCTACAAATAATGCAGATGCAGAGAGAATGGAGGAATTGTACAGATAACTGCAATCACTACTGGACAACACCCCATACCAGTTGGCGACGGTGACATCAAATGTCATTCTGATGGGTGGAGTGATATGAATGATAAACTGGGAGCGGATAACACAGGAAGACAACTCATCATGAGTCGAGAAGCACTTGATGAGATGATGAATGAGAATGGAGAACTGTTCGCAGATTTCCGCACATTCAACGAATCGATGATTGTAGGTAGTGTGTACAAACACAAGGATATGCACAAAGTGGGCGACATGGATTTGATTCGACCAGACACCTGGACACACTAAACATCACATCGATTTCATGTCAATGTGGAGAAAGTGTGGATGGAGATGCAGCGTGCTGCACGCAAGATGAAGAAGGGGAGCAGATGTTTCTTCACACTACTCACTATTTAATGAAAGCAACCTACTTTCGAAATCAAGTTGAAAGCCTTCAGAGAAGTTGGTGATAGACCACAGTTGAAGTTCAACAACTACCGAGAACAGAAAGTGAACTGAAGGACGAAACTATAAATGACATTTTCACGCTAGCCGGTCATCAGGAAGAAATGGGAGATATTGAGCAACATCCTTGGTGAAACCTGTGTGGAAGGATACTGGAACTCTTTAAAAGCTTTGTGGAAGGAGACCTGCATAACGGTACTAAGAAGGAAGAGGAAACAAGACAGGGAATGAATCTTGATGGACGCATAAAAGCTGATAGAGGAGGGAGAGGAGGATGGTGGAGCGGAAGATGAATCATTGCAATGATGCACAACGAAAATAGGGATTGAATACAACGTACAAAGAAGTAAAGAAGCGTGAGCGCAAGTACAAAAGATACTTCTATGACGCACTGACAAGTAAAGCAGAACAGGCTGCATGTAGGAAAGATACAGATCTGACAACATGGTATCAAATAACCAGGTTGCTATCCGGGAAGAGATCTATGCAAACGAAACCAATAAAAGATGATGAAGGAAAGCCAGTTACCAAAGAGGAGAAATAAAGGAAGCAATGGGCTGACCACCTCAAAAAGCTCTTGAATTGACAACCACCTGCAACTCGTCCGGAAATATCACCAGCGATGGCAGGACTATCAGTGAAGGCAGGTCCTCCGAGAAGAGCAGAAGTCCTGAATGCCATAAAACTGCCGAAATCTGGGAAGACAGCAAGACAAGACTGAAGTCCTCCAGAAGTACTGAAAACAGACGCAGAGACAATCACAGACATGCTCATACCACTACTGCAGAAGGTTTGCAAGGAGGGAAGGAGGGAAAAGAAAGTACCTGCAGATTAATTGGAAGAAGGGCTACCTCGTGAAACTTCCAAAGAGGGGAGATATAAGTCTTTGTAAGAACTGGTGCGGAATCGTGCTCCTGTCCACCGCAAGTAAAATATTAAGCCACATCATACTGGAGAGACTGAACAATGCTCTGGGCTCAAAATTACGACCGGGACAGACTGGCTGGCTAGCTTCAGAAAGAACAAACCATGTGCTGACCAAATTGCAACGCTGCGCTAAGCATCATCATCATCATGTAACAGAGAATAGAATGGCAGTCAACTCAACTCTTCCTCAACTTCATCGATTTTGCAAAGACCTTCGACAGCTTCAACCAAGAAGTAATTTGGCATGCAGCTGCTTCAACACTACGGAGTGTCACAAATCATTATCAGCCTCATTAAACAGCTATGTGAAGACACCATATGCCAAGTTAGACACAATGGAAATCTCAGCGACGCCTTTGAAGTGAAAACGGGAGCAAGACAAGGCTGCTTACTATCACCCATGATCTTTCTGATTGTAGTCGATCGGATCATGCAGGAAACCATGAGGAACGAGAAGATGGACATAAGCCGGACCGGTGAAAAGAGCCTAGAAGATTTGGATTTCGTCATCGATGATTATTTATGTCTAAAGTCCTGTCGCACAAACTCGAAGACCTACAGGCGAAAAACAACAAGTTGATAAAAGGAGCAGGGCAGCGAAGACTGGACTTCCCTCAGGTGAACGTCGAGAAGACGGAGGTGATGAAGATACCCAACCAACAACAGCATCAAAGACAAGAGGCGCCAATCACCATGAACGGGGGAGTGAAAACTAAAGCAAGTTGTCTCTTTCACCTACCCAAGTAGGCAAGTAAGCATCGTTTCAACTACAGGTTGCGCAGACGAGTATGTCAAAACCAGGATAGGAAAGACAGCAAGACAGGCTTTTAATAATCTGAAATCAGTGTGGAGATCTTCTGCACTCAGCATAAAGCGTGAACACCGTCCGGATTTTCAACATCAATGTCAGTTCAGTGCGTCTATATGGTTCAGAAACTTGGCGCGTTTCGAAAAGTATTTTCAACAAACTATAGATATTCATCAACAGCTGCCGTCTACGCTCTCTCGATAATGAAGATCAGATGGCCAGAAAGAATAGGAATAAGCAACAAAGAACTCCGGGAACGAACCAGCCAAGAACCTATTACTCAGCAGATATGCAGAAGGAGACGGTGGAGATGGATTATTGGGCATACTGTGAGAAGATCGATAGGGGACATCACGCTCCGGGCCCTCCAAATGGAAACGATGAGTTGGGCTTCCGAGGCGATGGTGACATGGAGATCATATGAGGAAGAAATAAAAGGTTGTGGGCAGTCGTGGATTCAGCGTGAAAAGACTGCAGAGAAGAGAGTGCAGTGACGACGTGTTACTAAAGCCCTATGTTCCAGTAGGAACCCAAGGGAAAAATAATAATAATAGTAATAAATTTTACGGAACTGAATCTGATAGATATATCAGTTTGATTATCTGAGACAGCCGTGGTTTGGCACACTCATGCTATTCATAGTGGATGATGATTGAAAGTGAAACGAAAATTTGTACTTGGCGGGATTTGGGATCCTAGCCATCGGGTTACCAGCCCAATGCTCTACCAACTGAACTACTAGACATGACCACTGACCAGATTTTAATTTCACTTCAGTCACGAAGAATTTCCTCCGAAGGCCGTCAGAATTCACGTTGCGTTACTATCACTTGATCATACTCATAGTGGCTGCTCGGTTTAGAACGTCTCATCCAAATTCAAATCTTCTTGAATTAGAGATGGGCAAACTGTAATGATTTTCAGTTTAACTGTCTGAAATAGCCATGGTTCGCATTGGGATGAGAAGTCCTGACTGTGTAGTAAAACCAAGCTGTAGTAACGCGTCACTAATTCACATGGCAGTAGGACAAAATCTATGGTGATTGAAATGAAATTGAAATCTAGATGTAAACGTTTGTCTGACTTTCATTTGTTAGCAGCAACCACGTTTTTGTAACAAGACCTTTAGAATGAATGTAAAAATATTCATATTTTCATGCTGCCTTGCAGAATATTCTTCACTGACCGTCCGAATAGACATAACTATTATGACTGTTCAACCAAGTTCATTACATCAAAGCAGTGGATTAGTATGTGTGTGTTAATTTGCGAAAAGAAAAAAGCTGTCTTAATCATTCTTCTGTTACGTAAGTGTTTTCATTGTATGTAACAATTCTGCACAACATGAAAAGTAAACATGACGTAATATGAAACCTGAAGTATCTTGCATCTCAACAGATACTTTCGATACATTCCAATCACTAGTGAAAACATGGTGCTTTAAGTAGATAATCGTTCAAATTTCTGTTAACATCATGAAATACTTCAAATAAAAGTAGTAATTGTAATCATAATTGACGAATTGGAATAGAATTTTTTGTTTGCCGAACAGATTACTCATACAATTATTTTTTCATCATTTTAGACCTTATTCCTGGTAGTATCTACACTGTACAAATATCAGCAACAAACAGAGGTGGACTAGGTGTGCCATCAAAAGTTGTTCACTTTCAAACTGGTGGAGAACTTCCAAAAATTGATCCAGATGAATTAGAAGGAATGGAAATGACTGATTCCACCTTAGAATTTAATATGGAACATCAGAACGTTGATTTTTTCGAAGACAAAATCAAAGCAAATGAATGGGTTGATTCAGTACAACAAAGTGGTGGTTCTCCAGTATATGTCTTGCCATCAAGAGTAAGTGAACATCTGAGTTGAACCCAGTATACATGTGTACCCATATATTCTCCAGTTTTTAAACCTGAATCAGGCATGCACAGCACTTTTCGCAGAATGTAATACCTTCATTATATGTCGTTATTTAATTGTTAGAAGTGAGTACATGTTATTAAATTTTGTATTCGGTAAGTTTAGTAGTCATTACAGGACAGGCACTGGAAGAATTCTATAAGTTAAGCTGCAATGCAACACGACCACGGTAACTTACGATATTTAGAATCGGTGGGGATACTCTAGACACTTACAAAATAATCCAGTAGATAAGCGGAAAATAGTTAAATATAGATCAGTGTGAGTTGAGATCAATAGATTATAACAACAACCGTGGCAGAACTAAAGAGAAATGAACTAATAACAGTCCTGACTACAGCACTTGAGTGTTAACTAGTCTCTGTTTGGTATGTAGGCTAGTTTACAGAATTTCTGTCGAGATAACCTTTGTCAAACAAAGCACTACGGAATTTCTAGGTACTACTCATCATGGGCTGACATCATTTGAAGAACTATCGAAAGCTTGGGAGCATTGGACAGCTTGTTTCTTACTGGTGTAGGACTCCTCAGGAGTATGCACTCACAGCCAGGGTAGAGACTGAACTCTAGACCTTCGGGTTTCATGGCGAATGTGTTAACCATCCAGCCACTGAGTCGGAGTTCAATGGTTCACAGTTTCAAACTTTTATTAATTCGCGATATAGCTTGGCTGTTACCCAAGATTTTCAGTCGACATCCGCTTTTCTTCCGACTGGTTGACCCTAGGGCTTACGGCTTCTTATTGGAACTATGGGATATCCATCTTGAAGCATGTCACTAAGGAGCAGTATATAGTAATGTATTTCGAGGTTAATGGCCTAGTAGTCAGCCTTATATGCATTTATTAGCTAGATGTAGGTATTACGTTAAGCGAAGTGGCTAACTGTCTGACATTTGATGACTTGTTTTCCTAATTTAGCTCTGTTTCGCCGTGTTTATTGAAAGCGGTCGTATAATGGTTTGTTACCGTCACGCCACTTAAATAAACGCTTCATGTTCCAGGTCATTCTGTCTTTGATCTGTATATGATTCATTTTATACAGCAAGGAAGATACTCAGATATAAATTACCTCTCGCCCTTATATTTTGTTATACATAGATTCACAATCTGCGAGCGACTCCAACCCAAACATCGATAAAATTAAAATGGTCAACTGCATTAAGACAAATTAATATGGAGAGTGAAACACATCTTTTTGATAATGTAGATTATGAATATACCTCACTGATTGATCCAAGACATTTAATTCCAGTTCCAATGAAAAGTGAAACACGTGACAAGGATACAACTGGACTGTTGCCACTAGGAACAAAATATGTTATACGCTGGGGTGATATGCATCCAGGTCCATCAGAAGACATCGTTCGAGGTGATCAAACGCAGTACACAATCGAAAATCTTAGTACGTTAATGAGATATATTTTAGTACTACCATTACGTCTCAGTAATATTCACTATTTTGAGCATACATCTCGTTTATTTCATTGTTTCAGTTGTGATGTGGGCCGTTGCATCTTTGTTCTTGAATTTACACAGTAGCATTCAGTGATTTTTCTCCAATTACTTTTGATGATACGCACATCTGTGAATACTGAAAGTTCGGTGAAATATAATCCTTTACTCGAGTAAGTCAAAAGAATCTCTCGTGATTACTGTCATCTATTTAGGCATATCGCAAGCAAAATGAACGACAAAATAAACATGCAGTTAATGAATAGAATGTTTCACTGACTAACTCCAGATCAGACAACAAATGGAAGGAAAAAGACAAAAGATTCATACACTTTAAGTACTCTCTTAAGGAAGATTCGATCATAGACATATGCACATACCTACCGGTAGCATGATTCGTGTTTATAATGAGAAGTCAAAAGCAAGCCACAAACTAACTTGAGTTACAGACCTTCACTCCTCTGAAACCTTTTCTTTTCACATAGAAAGAGTTATGTGAAAAGGTAGGAGATTGACTAGCTGTAGTACCCATAAGCAAGTTAAAATAATCAGAGGCTGAAGTAACAGTAATGATGGTTAGAGTTATAACGATGTTACTAATTGATGACGTAAAGCTTGAATGACAACATGAAGGGGTTAAGTAAGATTTTCAAATCGTTCATAGGATGGATATATATTACAAAACAGTGAGAACGTGATAGAGCTAATAAGCAACCAAAAGGTTGAGTGATGTGATGAGACAAATTAATTGCGATAAGATGAAAATGTTTTGTTAAAAGTTTCAATTTTTTGGGAGGTTAAATGAAGTGAATCAGGAAACCGGAATTATATTGTGTAAAAATACTAGTCTAACGAGGGAAGAAGACAAAAAAAACAAAGAAGAAACTTACAGGACTAAGTTAGGTTGTAACAATGTAGAGACGAAAAGTGTATGTACTTCTTTTGCACACAAAAACCAAGCTTCAGTTCATGGAAAGCCAAAGCCTCTCCTTGCTTCTAAAATTAGGAGACAGAGAAGACATGAAATAATTGAGCGAATTAGACAAAAGCCCTTGAAGGCATTGTTTGGATCAGCTAAGTTGTTAGGATGTATTAGATCGTCAAGTGTCGAAACTCTAAGGAATTTCCTTTCACCCTTATAAAGCACGGTGGACTATATTCTCCTATGCGCGTTGGAAGCTATCTCTGGCTACACATAATTTACCTTGCTCCATAGCAGAAGGTGAACTAGTAAATGCTCACTGAAAAGACCACACGGCTACATATGACTCTATTATTTTTACTGTGAGTAGAGAATTGATTCAGATGCCTGAGGATGGGATGTTGGTAACCTTCCAGGATAGATGGTTAGAACGCTGGGTGGATCACTTTATAGCACGGTTCAATTGGCCAACACCAACGCCCCAGTTGCCCAGGATCCAGCGCTAACTAGAATGGAACACAGATGTCACTCCTCCGACTCTTATGAAAGTTGAAAAGGCTGTATCAAACCTGAAGCTATGTAAGGCAGCGGAATCTGACAGTTTGGTACCCGAAGGTTGCAGGGATGGAAGCAGGAAGATGCTAAATATAGTGCCGAAGGTACTAATTGGTGCTTGGAAATCAGAGGTAGTGGCGTCAGACTGATCTACTTCCCTGATCATCCCAGTCTATAGGAAGCGAGAGAAGTCCTCCTGTGACAACCAAGATGCTAGGACCCATAGTTATCCAATGCCTAGCCGGAGCCTGTAAAAAGCAAACCCGAGAAAACCAGTCAGGTTTCAGACCTAGGAGAGAATGTATCGATCATATTTTCACCCTTCGATATGTTCCAGAACACGAGCATACTTACTGGTGGTCGATACTTGCCATGTTTATTTTTCTGAATGCAGCATCTGAGTCTGTCTACTGAGATTTGTTGTTGTAGTTTCTAACTGTGATAGGAGCAGTGGAAAAGTACGTAACGCAGATGACAGTTCTCTACTCAAACTCATCTAATCGTGTTAGAGTTTATGGAGACCTGGAATTAGAAATGACCATTATGGATGTCCAGTATCACCATTCCTATTTAACTTTTTTAGTTTCACTAATGTATATAACCTTACTTGGGTCTGATTTCATAGGGTCATCTTATTAACTTATAGCACTCGGACAGCATTGTCCTACTAGATGAAGATACTGACAAAGTGCGGGGTCCTCTGGGCTTCTTAAACAGAGGTATGAGTATGCTTACCATGCTGCTTCCATCTCTTAAATACAAGATGATCAACGACTGGTTAGCAATAGCTCCCAGTTAAGTGATAGGCGGTGATATGGTGGAATGCGTCAGCCACTTCATTTACTTAGGGAGCTGCATCAATTATAAACATGACAGTCGCTGAAGAAATCTCAGTTCGGGGATAGGTAGCATTTACAAATTCCTGTCACCTCTATCATCAACTGTTTGGAGATGATGTGGTGTACATTCGTAATTTGCAAGCACAAAGCTATTGTTTTCTAGGAAAGCTTCTGATAATCTGAAAGTTATTCAATATTATCTGTTCACAAATCGGGTGGAAATAACAATTTTTACTATTTCTGTCAGCTGGATTCATTCTTTTATGGAATCAACTCTGGATACACCGTTATGCTTAGTGGTGAGACTACCAGAAAAAATCGCAAACACCGGGAATAACTACTTCTTTATTAGTAGATTTCTTAAAGTTTTAACCCACGTGTATAGAAAAAGCGTTGATTTGCCTTATTTTAATTATCAGTCTTTCTATGCGTAACATCACATTCCCAGTTATTCTTCATCTTTTGATTTATTAATAAATTTGACACTTTTTTGGTATTACTTCCTATTTCTTAATTAGCGGGAATTGTCCAATGAACCACCTTATTTCTAATCTTGCTTTGCTCTTTTTCCGGTCCCATGTCTCACTTCCTTTCCCTGTAGCCTACTTATTTCCCAGGAATACTGTTCTAATTAATTCAGACATTTTCTCAGTAATATAGAAAAGAATTTAGGCAATTACAAAAGTAGGAAAAAGGCATATCTGATGTTCTTGGTCGTCGTTACATAATTGGAATTCACAGTAATCCTACACCACTTATATGACAAATGATGGTACAAAGTACTAGCTGTCTAAGATATAAGAACCATACAAAACAACAGCAAAACACTCAATATTGATGCATGTCGAAAAGATACTCATTCTCACAAATACCACGACTTCGATTCAGTTCACCCCCTAAAAACTAGTTTAAACATCATAGAAAACCTATAGGCAAAGTCATAGAGGAGGCCTAATAAACTGCAATCTCAGAAAGCGGATAGACAGCTTGTTCCGGAAGTCTTAAGACAAAATAGCTATCCGGAGAAGTTGCTAAAAAATAGAAAACAAGTTTGTTGCAAAGGGCATGAAAAAAACCAACTCAATAAGGTCGTTTTGGTTGGTTGTGGCTAGCAGAAGAATCCAGGACCCGCGCTTCGTCTTATTTGGGACTCGTCAGCTGGATATGCCTGCATGCCAGTGGTGTTGTTCCCACTGAGGTGCAGGCATATACAGCTGACGAGTCCCAAACAGGACGAAACGTGCGTCGTCACACTCATACCTGTCCAAATAAGAAAACCTGATCCCCAACTTGAAACAATAGAATGACATTATTTATGAGGTAGTCTAGTGAATGCCATACTTCATAAATTGGACAGACATCACGTAAAGTATTAGCGCGTTTAACTGGATACTATCGAAGTTGCCAGAAGCCCCCAAGATTTCTTATATTCTGGGAAAACTTGAATAAAACTCGGTCATCTCAGCTCATGCCTTATATCAAGGTCTGAAAATATCATTCAGAAAGGCAAAAGTTTTAAAACGGGTCCGCTTTCTCACAAAGAGTGGGTCACTGCAGAAGCTTGGCATATATGTTCGTGCCTTTCTGTGATCAACAGTTAAGACAGATTAGATATAACTCAAATAAGGCAGAGATTAGTGAGTCAAATAGAAAATTCCAAATAATATACAAAAAGAAGGGTGAACATAATTTAATTTCATACTGTTCTCAATAATTTATCCCAAACGTATTCATATTTCATATTGGGTGATGACTAAAGGTGAAATGAAAATCTGGGCTGCAATCAAGCATCAGCACAAGTTAGCAAAGCCACGGCTGTTTAAGACAGTCAAACTAATTTATTATTATTATTATCACCTGCCTCTTGGGTTCCTAGTGGGACATGAGGCTTCAGTAGCACACCACCATTCCACTCACTTCTCTTCAGTCCTCCCAACATAGCTCCACAACTGCCCAGAAGCTCTTATTTCCTCCTCACACCATCTCCTCCTCCCATCATCCTCGCATCGGACACCCAACTAGTCCTTTCTAATTCGGCTTCCACTCAACGGCCTCAACTGACATGTGATGCCCCCAGTCGGTCTTCTCAGTGCATGTAAAGTCCAATCCAATCCATCGCCACTTTCTTCTGCATATTTGTTGGGCAATAACTTCTTAGTTGGTTCATTGCCAGACCAGAGTGAGTCCCTCCTTGCTTATTTCTATTATTCTGGCCATCTGTCTGATCTTCATTGTCAGTATCGAGTTAGCGTACACAGTAGCTGCTCATGTATGTCTGTAGTTGTCTGTTGGAAATGCTTTTCGTGACGCGTCAAGTCTCTGAACCATGTAGAAGCACTAACTTGACTGACATTAATGTTGAAAATCCGGATCTTATTTTTTGTGCTGAGCGCAGTAGACCTCCACACTAGCTTAAGGTTAGTGAATACCTGTCTCGCTGTCTTTCTGATCCTGGCCTTGACATCCTCATCTGTGCCGCCGCAACCTGTAGTTGAAACGATGCTGTCTAGGTACGTGAACGAGACTACTTCCTTTAGGTTTCTCCCATTAATGGTGAGTAATCCTTGTAGTAGTTGTTGATTTGGTATCTTCATCACCTCTGTCTCTTCTACATTAACTTGAAGTCCTGTCTTCCATGCCCCGCCTTACCTCTTCTGAAAACTTGTTGGTTTCGCCTGCAGACCTTCCACTTTGTGCAACAAGGCATTTGACACAAATCATCATCGACGGCGACATCCAAATCCTCTAGGGTCTTTTCATCGGTTCAGTCAGCATATATCCAGCTTCTTGTTACTCCCAGTTGTCTGTTGCATGCTCCAGTCCTGTCTAGTCGACCACAATCAGGAAGATCATCGGTGATAGTAGGTGGCAGCCTTCACTTAATCCTCTCTTCACTTCAAACGCGTCAATCAGCTTTCCATTGTGAATCACTTGGCATGTAGCCTCGTCATATTGCATAGCATATAGCTGTTGAGTGAGGTTGATAATGGTGTGTGGCACTGAGACCTTAGTGTTGAAGCAGCTGCCTGTTAAACTGCTTCTTGGTCGACGCTGTCGAAGGTCTTTCCCAAATCAATGACGTTGTGGTAGAGTTGAGTTGACTACCATTTTATTCTCTGTTACATGATGATGGTGATGATGATGCGTAGAGCGGCATTGCAGTTTGATCCGTACTTGATTTTTTCTTCCTGAAACCAGTGAGGCAACCTGTTCTGGTGGTAATTTTGAATCCAGAGCATTGTTCAGTTTCTCCAGGATGATGCGGCTTAATATTTTGCTTCGTCAGGTGGGGAGGGACTGGAGCATGATTCCATGCCAGTTCTTGCAAAGACTTAGGTCTCCTCTGTTTGGAAGTTTGATGAGGTGGCCCTTCTCCCAATCACTCTGCAGATACCTATCCTTCCTTCCTTGTGAACCTCCTGAAGTAGTGGTGTGAGCACGTTTGCTGTTGTCTATGCGTCTGCATGTATGTATGTTCTTTTCCATTGTTTAACGGTACATATAATCAAATATGTAGAGTATCCAGCTGACGTTAAATTAAATTAAATCCTACTTTTTTCACACTCGCTGCTTGTTTCAAACGACATTATGATTGAAATGTTTATTACTCTTACTTTATTCCTCATCCTTTTCGTATACTTATTTTATTTGTTTAGACTTTGTTTATTCATTTACTGCGTCCCTCAGTACTACGTAACTTATATTTTTCCAAACTTTTGGCTTACTTTGATTCTCAGAATGTCTACATTTTCATGATGCTTTCTTGGTTCTTTTCATCATTATCATGTATATTACAACTACTTTAGTCAACGCTGTTAATGATATCCTTTTTCATCATTGCTATTATTGTCATTTGACTATCGGATATAGCCCTAGTTCGGCAGACTGCTATTTATACTGCGTGATGATTGAAGGTGAAATGAAAATCCGGACCGAAGCCAGATTCAAACCAACGGCTATCGGGTTACCCGCCCAGTGTTCTACCAACTGAGCTGCGAGGTCCGACTGCTTATCAGATTTTATTTCACTTCAGTCACCAAACGTTTTACCCGACTACCATGTAAATTGGTAATACGTTACTATCGCTTGATCGTATTCACGCAGGCTGCCGATTATTATCACTATCGTTGTTCAGAAACATTTATAATATTAACTGGCAAATGTGCTTGACTAGTGTAATTTTACATATATTTATTAGTTATTCCTAATAGTCCTTGAATAGGTTTTGATTTAAAACAATGTTGTTCGGTTATGTCTTGTTGCAACTTAAATAATGGAACTTTTAAAACTAGATCTCACAAAATTCTTGCCAATTTATTTATTTATGTTGCATACTTTGCTTTATATCATGAACATTATGTTCTATTTAATGGTTTATAGTGGCTAGCTGTGGAACCTAAAACATGTGTTTCATCCTATTTGGGATTCGTCAGATGGATGTACCTGCCTCCCAGTGATCTATCTTGTTCCCACCAAAACTTGGACTTGTAATCGATCGCTTCAAACGCCAGAGTATTACCTACTAGACCACTGAGTCAAGATAGACACTTTTTGTGCGATAGGTACAGTTTTAATGTTGTTGCTTGTATTTTGCTAGCCACTATCCATCAGTGATACACAATTGAAACATACGCAATATCGAGATATCCATGCAGGCGCTCATATGCTAATAAATACCGATCAATTTTGTACACCCTACGGTGGGATAATGCAAGCAAAAACATTATGTTCTATTAGTTGTAATACAGACGGGGAGAATCTATGAAACACATGGATGCTAGTCATCTTATCGTTGTTCTTCTGGCTTTAAAGAAGTTTGTGAAAATGAAGAGTTATGTGTATTTCGGAAGACTTTTATGGTTCTCTAGGATTTTGTTTGCTTCTTCAGATTAGTTTGGTCAGTTTTACAAAAATACTCTGAAATCAGTCAGCCAACCTTTATGAATCACTAAATGTTTCCATGTCTAAGGTTCCATGAAATATTAATGATCATGAGATATTGTATACAGAAAATCTTAGACATGATTGGAATGTCGAAATCTAGAAGATTTGGTTCTTGTTGCCCTTCACTTTATCCTTAGTGGACATATATGTGTTTGAGTAATAGTTAATCAGGTGAAACTGCAATCAATTAGTAGTAATTATATTTTAAACATGTTTTATGAATGTATTCAAATCGATCAATCCAAACTAATTCATGTAATACTTAACCGGGCAGCATGAGTTTTGTATTCAAGAAAATAATCACTATCATTTGGACTTTGTTCTAGTTTTAATGCTCCTCACTAACTTTCTTGGCGGTGTAAAAGAATTTAATCTCAGAAAAGTCAAAAGACTTCATTTATGTGGCGTGATTGAGAGAAAACTGAAAGAAACCCTTTCTGATACATATTATATGGTAGAAAGGAATCTCCAACAAGCTTACGTGATCTTACATCCTCTGACACTTCAATTCGTCCTATCAAGCTCTGTGATCGACAGCGTTATCAATAAGTCAATGGAGTTGCGATCGCTAAGTCAATGAATAATTATCAGTGCCATACTTTAATAAATGTCAAAAGTAAATCCAGAACTTCTTGCCCAATCACCTCTGTTGACTAACAGCAATTGAAACGCATGCTCACTTATACGATTTCACAGAAAATTGATTGACAGAACGCGTTCTGTATGTGGTACTTTATCACTCGATACTGACACCCTTATCTCTGTACTAATCTATTGTTTCACCTAGCTGAGAATACTGTTCAAACCAGTCCGCTGATTTCATTTTGTTGTTATCTGATGTTTGTTTCATTCTATCAAATTATTTCATGTGTTCAATCCTTTCCATAGGACCTGGAACCATTTATTACATTCGTGTTATATCTGTCACAGAAAGTGGAGATGGTCCGGCTGCTTACACTGTTGTAATGACACTAGACTCCTCAACAGGTAAGTGTATTTTATGTTCATTGGATTACGTATATTTTGTCTTTAAAATAGTTGTATCTCAGCGGCTGTTTATTAGTATTACGGATTGTATCTGTCTACGTGTGTTTCATGAAAAAAGACAGGTGCAATTTGTCAAATACCCAGTTATTTCATGTGTAAGTCCGTGAAATGAGAGGTTTTAAAGCTATTCTTGGTTTATAGCAAAGGAGTTCAACACCTTTGGCTTCATATGGAGACGAAATAAATTCTAAAATCCTAAACAACATTGCAGTTGTACCACTGACATGTTTTTTTCTCAACTGGAATGAAGGATATGAAACTTCGTGTCCGACATTACTGCCCTCCAGTACATTTGAGTTTGTCAAAAAAGGCTTCAGTGAAGAAAACCTGCCAATGCTTATTTCCTATGATTTATAACTTTGATTTAGAACAATACAATTTTTGCATAGAGCTTCGTAGGATATTTTCTGCATCTGGAAAAATTGATCACAAAATGAAATAGGAATACGTTTTTCAATCACTGAAATGACTAAGTAAAGATCAATGCAAATAGGGGATAAAGCTTGGTTTCAATTTATTATTGGAACCTCTATAAGACCTTGTCTTATACCCTCTGTAATATATTACGTAAGATCATGAAACTGCTGCTGCTGATGCAGTAATTTTAATACAGTAGCATTCCTAATTTAGACATAACTAGTCATTGAAAACATCTGTTTAACGATACAACTATAAAACAGGTAATGGATGGGACAAAAGCAGCATTTAATGAATTCAAAAATTTCAGTAGTACTCGTTAGCTGGATACTCTACATACTTGATTATATAAACCGTTAAACAATGGAAAAATACATACATACACACATACATACATACATAAAGTAGACTGAGACGGATTTATATGTAACAACATAGAAGTGAAGATGTTATTCATCGAAGACTGACATCAGTTGGAGGAACAAAGAAAACCTGGGAGCACTGGAAAGCTGTTTCGTCCTGGTATGGGACTCCTCAGCAGTGCGCACCCACTACCCCACCAGCAGGGATCGAACCCGCGACCTTCAGGTTCCGCGGCCAGCTGCTGCACTGCTGAGGAGTCCCATACTAGGACGAAACAGCTGTCCAGTGCTCCCAGGTTTCCTTTGTTCCTCCAACTGATGTCAGTCTTCGATGAATAACAACTTGAAATGTTTCCAAATCTCCACAACCCCCTCAAAAATAGAAGTGAAGAGTTTTTACAGATCAAACAGTAATGCAAAGGGTAGAAATGGATATTCGAAATTGAATGGGCTGAGGATAGGCTAACTGAGTTTGGATCATAGTGGGTTTCAGGTAGGAGAATAACGATAATGACAATAATAATGTTGACACAGAGGTGACAACTGAATCGACTGAGCGCAGATCTCGTCATTCAAAACGAGATAGTTAATAGTAGTTATGCTGGTATAATAAGAAAACCAGATGTATTGAAATGAGTAATAATAATAACATTGGTAATAGGCATAAGGTTAATCAGGGAAGCAAAGCAAAATATCAGGTGGGTGGTAATTAAGAGCGAAGAGCAAATAAAAAGATTAAATGTGATTAGACAATGTTGTAATTCCTATCATAGCAGATTCAAACTGACTATCATTTCCTTCTGAATGCAGAGGTTTGGTTTGACAACCAGAATCACGCAGGCTTCTGCATATCCAAACAACTTATTTTGCTGTCTACTGATAACAGCAAAGGACTCACAGGTATCAATATCATGTCCATAATCCATTAGGTGTTTCGTTACCCAGCTCCGTGGAGTTTTATTTTTGGTTTACTTCAACCATTTGAGTAGGTGCCAAACCCTTCAGGTAGACAGACGCCTAGTGTATTTACTTCCACATGCACATTCGATTTGATATCTGCATTTAGATGTGTCCAGGACCGGAGCCCTGTCTTTCCCTAATTGTTATAGTGCCCTTTTAATGGTACCGAGAAGAGCGAGTTTAGCAGCATGATAAGTCTTTGTGACAAACTTTTTCAGTCTTCGTCTAACTATTTCTAGAATGGTAAGGTGATATAGACTGATTTCTTGTATACTGCTTCCTACCCCTTTTGCATGATTGTTGATAAAGGTTTCTGGGTACTCATTCTTTACTAGCACTTTTTTCAAAGTCGCTATTTCGTAGTGTAGTGGGCTGTCGGAGTAAATTTTCCTGGTTCTGCTAAACTGCTTTCTGACTATATTCACTTTGTATTGGATCGTAATATAGCTCCTAAAATGAAGGTTCCGTCCTCTCCATGAAAATTTCCTATAGATGGGCCTTTCGATAGATCCATTAATTCTTTTCATCAATGAGATATCTAAGAAATTAATCATATTATTTTCTTCTTTCTCAATCGTAAAGGTCAGGTTCGAGTGACATGAATTGAAGCTCTTTAGTTGTGCTTCTACCTCCATTTCGCTATTACATGCAATGAATATGTCGTCCATGTAACACTGTTAGAGTATCCAGATGACTAGGATTACTGAAATTGATGAATTCATTATATCCTACTTTTTTCCACATTCGTCGCTTGTTTTACATATCTGGTTGTTATTACTAAAGAACTTGTACCTACAATAATGAAATCACTTATTGAGTTTCTACAAAATACCTGTACTCCATGGCGTGAAGTTTCTTATTATTCAATTTTAATTTTGGTAAATGAGTCGTACACTAGTGAAACGTTGCAATGTAAATTCAAGGATTCAGTCTCCTTTAGCCAACACTCTATGAAGTTAATCTTTTTGAGAGGTGGTCAACAGAGAATCTGCTGACTGACAAATAAATATCAAACTGAGATATTATATTTGAATGAGTAAAACTTAGGGAATGAATATAAGCATAAAACTTTAGCACTATGGTAGAATATAATACCATAAACCAAATAAACAAATAGAATATGTAAACTTAAGGGAAATAACAGAATTTAATTTATTATAATAATGTTGTGCATTTTGCAAAGCTTGTTTAGAATAGCCTCATTGCACATGTATTCGGTGAAAATATTTCTGTGAAATGTGACGTCGAGTTGTCAAGGTGAAAGCAGATCCGATGTGTTTGTTCAGTTGAAGGTCAAAATAATGGTAGAATTAAGTAAGCTGAAGATAATAGTACGGTGACCTTTATTCTCAATTTCAGTTTACCAAAGAAGATTATGGATGATGAAGATAGACGGTTTGTATATCCAATAAGTATTATAATGCAGTATGCTAAGAGAGATTTGCAGCTCAGGCTGAAGATGATATTTTACCACAAACGTTCAGTCATCAGGCTTGGTGATGAAATGTTTACGACAAAACATCGAAGCTTGTAGAACAGCAAATCAACATTATGCACTATGCATTATAACATTGTTGATCTACCTTATACAACCTTTACTAATTTCACTAATGTCTTTATTTTTCTTCACTTAAGCAACAAAACCAACAAATCATGGTCTACTTATACCTGTTAATCTAGTTGTTCGTCAGCTTGGCTCTACTTGGGCACGTGTAGGTTGGGATATACCTCATGTTCCACAATCTGTTAAAATGATGGTCGGTGGATTTCAGATAAAGTATTACCCAGTCAAAAGTAATATTGATCAAGAACTACAAGAAAAAGATACGGAGGATATGCTTGCCACTAGTGAACAATTCACAGAAAAAAGTGTAAAAGATAAAAATTATGAAATGAAACTGATTAATATGACTCTATCATCGAATCAACTGCATACAGAGCATTTTGACATAATGCTACGAAATCTCAAGCCTGCAACTCAGTATGAATTTGGTGTCCGAATGCTACACGGTGAAACTGTTGCGGAAAGATCTAATTCAGATGACAGTGACAAAACAGTGAAAACGTATTTTTGGAGTATGGTGCAAGGTTTTGAAACTTTCGGCAAAAGTAAGACAACAATTGCTTTAAATCATTTATTCTTTGTCTAATTCTTTTATAAGTTTTTTTGATTCAGACATAATGTACGATAAACTCAAAGATATTAGACAATAATAATAAAAACACCGAAATTTATCCTTTTAGGATTAATGGTTATATATTAAAAGATACTTTTAAGGCGAACTGAATCATCGAAAGAAAACAGGTGCAAATGTTTTGTTACCATTTAAAGGTGAATGAGAGTATTGCTAAGAGTTCCCAACAACGATTGTGCTTTTACTAACATTTTTTTCTATACATGTTGTATAACTTTCCCAAATCAAGCTACGTAACATTTAAACAATACATAAATTATAATACTTTGGTCCACAGTATTGATTATTCATTACTAATAAATTACTGACTTTTGAAAAACTAAACCAAGTACGTCTCATTACATGGTTAAATAGACCTAAGGCTTTAAGATTATTCAGGCAGAACTGATAATTTATTTTGGTATTTTGAGTACAGGTCATTTCAAATTCTTTAGAATTAGATGTCATTCAACAAGATATTTCATTCATAATCTTATACGTAACTGAATTCCACTGCTAGCCACTGCCCATCATTGCTATACATAGTTAAAAAGACAGGCAACATCAAGGGATCCGCATAGGAGCCCATATGCAAATAGAGACTGATCAATTCGGTCCAGTCAACGACGGTGTCATACAAGCAATAACACTAAAACTATCCCCGTCGCACAAGAAATGGTTATCGTGGCTCGGTGGTGTAGTGAATAACGCTCTGTCGTTTGAAGCGATCGCTCCTGAGTCCGAATCCTGGTGGGAACAACATCACTCACTGGGAGGCAGGTATATCTATCTGACCAGTCCCAAATAGGACAAAGTGCGTATCCTGGAATCTGCCACTAGTCACTGCCCATCATTATTATACGTAATAGTTTACTGATATTCGTTTTCTGCAACTAGGACAACTCAATTTCACTGAGAACTGTATAACTAAATTGAACCTTTTTCTACTCCTTTGCGTTATACCAGGAATGACTGCTGTATTTAACTGGCCTAAATGGATTCGTTAACTACCGCCAGAAAATTAATTATTTATTCCTAATCTTCTTCATATCTGCCTACCATGACTCTATCTTAAGTTATTAATTTTTGTTACTACATTCTATTTCACATGACACTGTTTATTAACTTCAAACAGATAGTGTTTTATTGTACATTGGTGTGATGTTCCGTTATTATGAATCATATAATTCATGAACTGAGCTCTTTGCAATTTTAGCAAATCTAGTACGTTACACATAAGTAACTACAAGAGATAAGTAGAAATTCCACAGGGATTATACCTACATGAGAGAATAATATTTCAGAAAACATTCCCACAGGAAATAGCAGTATAAAATAAATAACTGCTAAAAATATTATTAGTAAATGCAGAAGAATATAAATTGATTGTGGTTGTGTATTTGTATATTTTACTTTTGGATACAATAATGTAAGGTTTCTGTTGATGACAAGTTAACTAACGTTTACTGTAAATGAACTAAGATAGTCTACATCATATTTCATTGCAGAAAACTGTAAAAGTGAATTACTAAGAAACGAAAATTAGGTTTTAGGTAGAAACTACTGTTATTTAGAATTCTGAGTTTTACACAGTGATAATCTGATGTTATAAATCTATGGACCACTAAATTCCTACCCAGCGGCCCATTGTCATCGTGACAACCATACTCAAACTATTGCTCTCCTTTTTATCACGCATACATTTGTCGGCTGACACCGGATATTATGTAAATTTACAACCTAATCAGGCACAGATTGACAATATAATCAAAGCTACACATTGGTAATTATATTGGTTCTACTATAGAATCACTGGTTCTCGGAACGTTAAGCTTTAAAAGAAAATTTAACTTTAGCGGTAATAAGTTACAAAGTAGTCACTGGTTTTATCCGGAGTATGATTACCACAAAATCCGAAATTCTTTGGCTTACATTGCCAGCGGTTATTCTTGAACATCCTGTAATAGGAATTACTGAGGCAAAATGGTGGTAGCTTTTCGAACCGAACAGATATCTACACCCCACCTTTATTAATTCCAACCTAGTGTATTTTCAAGAAAAAAAATAGCTAACAGTCTTTAATATTTCCTTTCATCTTGTGACTCAGATACTTAGCAGGCAATCAAATCTCATGAGTATACATTTCGTCGCACAATTAATATTATTCTTATTTGTCCCTTGGGTTCCTAGTGGAACATACGGCCTCAGTAGCACGTCTACATTACACTCTGTTCTCTACAGTCTTTTAAACCTGGCTCCATGACTGTCCACAAGCTCTCATTTCTTCCTCATACGATCTACTCCATGTCACCCTCAGCTCGAAAGCCCAACTCTCCGTTTCCCATCTGGGTTCCACTCTAGTGTCTGGCGCATAATGTTCCCAACTGATCTCAGTGCATGCCAAATCCATCTCCACTTTCTCCTGCATATTGGTTGAGTTATAGCTTCTTGGTTGGTTCATTGCCAGCCAGAGTGAGTTTCTTATTGCTTATTCATTCTGGCAATCCATCTGAGCTACAGTATCGAGCCAGCGTAGGCAGTTGTTGATGAATGACTGTAGCTTGCTGAAAACGGTTTATGCGACGCGTCGCCAAGTCTCTGAACCATCACAGAGAAGCACTGACTTGACAGATATTAGTGTTGAAAATCCGGATGTTGTTCACGCTTTATGTTAAGTGCAGTCGATCTCCACACTGGTCTCAGGTTAACGAACGCCTGTCTTGCTTTTCCAATTCTGACTTTGACATCCTCGGCTGTGCCGCCACCACCTGTAGTTGAGACAATGCTGCCTAGGTTGGCAAAAGAAGCTACTTCCTTTAAGTTTCTCGCGCTGATGGTGATTGGAGTTTGTTGTTGGTGGTGGTGATGAAGGCGTTGGCTGGGTATCATCATCACCTCTCTCTTCTCTACGTTCACTTGAAGTCCCGTCTTGGCTGCTCTGCCCTGCCTGTTCTTCCAACTTGTTAGTTTCCGACTGTAGATCTTCGAGTTTGTGTGACATTCGACACAAGTAATCGGCGAAATCCAAGTCTTCTAGGTTCTTTTCCGCGGTCCAGTGTATCCCCCTCTTCTTGCTGCTCACTGTTTGTTGCATGATCCACTACAATCAGGAATATCATGGGTGATGGTAGAAAGCCTTATTTTACCCCTGTCTTCACTTCAAAGTCATCACTGAGCTTCCCACTGTGAATTACTTGGCATGTGACATCTTCATAAAGTTGTTGAATGAGACTGATAAAGATTTGTGGTATTCCGTAGTGTTGGTGCAGTTTCCAAATTACTTCTCGGAAGGCATTTTCAAAGTGGATGAAGTTGAGGTAGAGTTGGGTTGACTACCATTCTATGCTCTGTTATATGATGATGATGATGACAATGCGTGGAGCAGCGTTGTAATTTCATCTGCACATGATTTGTTCTTCCTGAAGCCAGCCAGCCTTTTCCGGTCGAAATTTTGAATCCAGTGCATCCTTTAGTCTCTCGAAGATGATGTGGCTTAATATTTTGCTTACTGAGGGTGCAGAGGGACTTGAGGATGTTTTTGCGCCAGTTCTTGCAAACACTTAGGTCACCCCTATTTGGAAGCTTGACAAGGTAGCCATTCTTCTAGTCAGTCTGCAGATAACTTTCCTTCATACCTTCCATTAGCTTACATTTGTCCATCGAGATCATTTCCTTATCCTCTTTCGTCTTCCTTACTCACACAGTGATGCAGGTTTCCTTCCACACAGCTTCCAAAGAGTTCCAGTATCCTTCCAAACAGGTCTCCTCAAGGATGTTGCTCAATATCTCCCATTTCGTCCTCATGATCGACTGACTGACTGACTGACTGACTGACTGACTGACTGACTGACATGAAAATATCCTTCGCAGTTTCATCCCTCAGTTCACTTTCTGTTCTCGGTAGTTGTTGAACTTCAACTGTGGTCTACCACCAACTTCTCTGAAGGCTTTCAACTTGATTTCGAAAGTAGGTTGCTTTCACTAGATAGTAAGTAGTGTGAAGACACATCTGCTCCCCTTCTTCATCTTGCGTGCAGCACGCTGCATCTCCATCTACACTTTCTCCACATTGACATGAAATTGATGTGATGTTTAGTGTGTCCAGGTGTCTGGTCAAATCAAATCCATGTCGCCCAATTTGTGCATATCCTTGTGTTTGTACACACTACCTACAATCACCAATTCATTGAATGCGTGGAAATCTGCGAACCGTTCTCCATTCTCATTCATCATCTCATCGAGTGCTTCTCGTCTCATCATGAGTTGTCTTCCTGTGTTGTCCGCTTCCAGTTTATCATTCATATCACTCCACCCATCAGAATGAAGTTTGATGTCACCGTCGCCAACTGGTATGGGGTGTTGTCCAGTAGTGAATGCAGTTATCTGTACAATTCCTCCTTTCTCTCTGCATCTGCATTATTTGTAGGTGCATAGCATAGCACTGAATGATTGTGACTTTCCCTCCTTTTCACTTAAATCTTGTTTTCATGATTCTGATGCTGGAGGAGATTGGTTCCCACTGCATGAGTGAGAGAGAGTTTTCGATTCTGTTTGGGATATCATGATAGCCACTCGAAAACTCAGTGTGCTATTCTGGTGGTTGTCGTTTTGGGTGACAATATCGGAGTTGATGACTGACTTTGCAGTTGACAGTTTGGAGATTCCGCTTCCATTTCTTCTGCAGATTCTTCGCATATTTCGAGCCTGGCACTTCTATGCCATACCTCCTCATCTCTTTGGGAATCTGGGTAGTCTTGTTAGGTTGATACATGGTGTGGACATTCCGTGTCATTGTGTTTGCTTTTGTTTTCATCGAGAGAATATGTGAGAGATCGGCGAATTGGCTTCTCGACGACTTTCGCCAACGGGCGTCATTTTGTCTCCCCGATTGCAGTGGGAAATAAGTTTGTTTTTATTTTTTTATATTATGTCTGT